GATGAACACATACATTCCCATGCAATTGCATTTTACTGTATTTCATGACCTTGCAGATGATTTGTACAGTATTTTTTTTCTCAGTGTTGTTTTTCGGCCACATTCAAAGTTCAAAACTTGAATCTGAATTCATACTTTTTTTTAAACACAAAGCTTCTTAAATAAATAAATGAAGAATGAAAAAGAAAAAAACCCCACATATCCTGGAATTAAAAAAACATTTCTCAGGACATCAAATTATTATTAGATTATGCAACAGTGCTGCATTTTTTTAATATTTATTTATTTATTGCTGTAAGCAAAACCAGCTGCTTTGCTCATCGCGTCCAGTTATTTGAATTTATTGAGTCTGGGAAAAACAATCACATTAAACATTAATTTAACCGAAAAACCGAGGACGTGTTTTAGTCATTTTGTTTGTCTGCTATAACAAAGTACTTGAGAAAGTTTGTAATGTAATATAGGTGGATTATTCGCATGTACAATAAATGCATAAATAAACATATTTAATGAACTAAAAATAAATAAATCAATTACTTTTAAAAGAAGGCAGCAACAGCTAATTTATCCGCTCATATCTTCTGTAACATTTAACCTTGGTTTTAAAACATTTTTCAGCAGTTATCTACTTTTTCACAAGTTCCCTTTCCTACGAATATATATATATAGTAAACGTGCCTTTGCTGTTGGAAATGGTCTCAGTGATTTGATCTGGAGAAAAGAAGGCGTGAGATTATTTCCTTTTACAGGCGAACAGCTGAATTTAAAGCCTGTGTATTATTAAACACGCATCGTTCCCCCGGAGAAACAAATGGATGTTTACTTGGATGATAAGAGATGCCAATTTATTAGACTTTGAGAGGCCAACACTGGTCATGGCTGTCTGTTAAATGAAAGTTGTCCATGTTTCATTTCCTCCGTCCAATTTGCGCCAGCAGACGCGCGTTCTCCGCCGCCTTGGCTCGCAGGTTTTTGGCCTTGGCCACATCAAAGAGCACGTTCATGATGTTGGTCGGGACGTCCAGGGACAGGGTCAGTCTGCTCCTCCGGTCCCCTTTGTTGCTGTTGCGGAGCATCTGGCCCCTGAGCTTGGTCCGGCTCAAGAAGCGGTAGTTTGCGGGACTTGAAGTCCTTTTTTCCCGACTGGATTCAGCAGAGGAGAAAGAGGACGACGACGTGGAGGATGAGGAGGAGAGATACTCCGCGGACTGCATGAGGGACCCCCAGCCGTCCCCAGTGGAGTAACCAGGCTCAGTTTGGTCATTCCGGACCCCGAGTGCCAGCTGGTCGTCGCAGAGGAGGTCGGGGCGCGTCTGGTAGAGACGCAGGCACAGGCTGGAGGTCGGTGTGCACAGGACCGAGAACAGCAGCAGGGTCTTTAGGGACGACAGCATGCTGTGTCCTCTGGGACCAAAACAGGTGAAGAAAGCCAGAGAATATGAAGTTTTTCTCGCATCTAATCTTCAGCAACGCATGTCAGTGAATTTCATCTTCACTGAGATGCAAAAATAAACCTTACTAATATGCCCATTCTGCATATTAATAGTAAATATTAACAGTACCCTAACAAATCTTGTTCAAATCTACTCTAAGAGTACAGGATTTCGTTTAAAGTTCGATGGATCACAAAAAGCCGGGATGTTTTTAATGTGAAGTTTAGCGCATAAAACTAAAAACAATATTTAATAAAGGTCACAAACGTGTGAGCAATAATGTTCGTGCAACTTACCACTCGTATCCTTTAGTTATAATAATACTTGTATTAAATATAGTTGGAGAGGTTAAGCAGCACTTATCCCCTCAAAGAAAGCGCAAAGAAGGCGAAATCCTCAAGTGAGGTTATTATGAGAAATCCCGATGAACCAACACTGTTTGCGGAGGTCAACAGTGCGCACAGTCTGACCAGCAGCGTCTCCTGCTCGTCCATTCCCACTGTATTCTTTTAGTAGAGCCATCAAAACGCAGCCCTACGCCAGCAACAACGTCATCCCGTTGACATTTTGGTTCGCAGTGAGCCATCCCATTGGCTGTGAAGCAATGAGGTAGATGAATGAAGAAAAAAAAGAAGAAGAAAGTTGTGGCCTCCTGTTGGTGGACCGAAGGCGTCACGACTATTGAAACTTTTTTTTCTGCCTCGCATCAGACTTTAAAAAAAGTGTTTCATGTGCAGCTGCTCCACGGTAGCCTGTAAGAGTCCCAACATCTTTAAGTCATTCAGTGGCATTTGCGTGAAACTGACAGGTTTGCGGTTGATCAGCACCACGGACAGCTCCCATTGACACGTTTGTTCTCAGCTGAGCGCATTTGACGCTTATCTCAGGCGCACTTGGCAGGATATGTTTGGGTTGTGGATCAATAGTTAAATGAAATTGTCTCACATTATAATATTAGGCGTGTCTTCAGAGGTTTCCCAATTACCGCTGTTAAAGCTGCACAAAGAGCGGATCCATTTATGATTTAAAGTAATTAAAAAGTAATGGTTGCAGTGATGAAAGGATGTTAAGGTAAAACAGAGAGGATAAAAAAACAATCAGACCAAATTGGGTAGAGGATGGCGATAGAAAGAACGAGGAGCCAGCACAGGTACAGAAAACCAAACATCTAAACCTGCAAGCGTAAAAACCATAGGTGGGGCTGTCACACCGTCAGCTGAAAGAGGACTGGAAAAGTTGGATTTTCTTTGAGATGCTCTGCAGCCCGGGTCCAGAGAGAAAGTGACATAGAAGGTGATTGATCTGGTTATATTCAACTATGAATGTCATTAGTTAAAGCGTATTAAACCTTATTATATAAAGGTAGAAAGCGCTCACATTACATGCACTGTTTTAGACAATATCTTTCTATAATGAATATATCATTGTATGTTCATTATAGCGAAATGTAAACCTGTAGATTCTAGAACAGGTGATAAATATAACTCTTCACTTTATCAAAGCAAATTAAAGTCCTTCAAATACAATATTGTCTCTTTAGCTCATTTTATATATTAATTTCAACAAGACGAAGAACTGAATGAAGAATAAAGGTGCAGAGTTTAAAAGTTTCCCTGCTCTTTCAGATGTCTCCATCGACATCAGTTTCACATCTATTAATAAAGAGATGAGCATTTGTTCCATTTGAAGTTTTAATAAGTTGAGTGACACCACATATAAAAACTTCTGTGCGCGATTCACAAATGTTTCTTCAAAAGAGACGAGAGATATCTGAGATTTTCTAGAGAGCACTGTGTTTTAATTACCGTTGAGTGTACACATGACACGCAGCAGAGTTGATGTACATTACAATGTCAGAATGAAAAAGAGCATACAGGGGGAGACGGCATCAAAGGGCGCTGGGTCAGGGTCTAATGAGGAACTTCACTCACCTTCATTAATATGAATGTAAGTCTTCACAGCTGGAGTAATTGCGTTCCGTGACACACGAGGCAATGAGATATCCTCCTCCCACTCCAGCTTCCTCCGCAAGTGATCTCTGAAATGGAATTACATGCCCCCTTCAACATCAAGGGGGACAAAAATCCTACATTTATTACATTGACGCTGGTTTGCGTTGCTCTGCTTAGGAGTGAAGGCCTATTGACCACAAAGCACTTTCTTGCTACTGTTTATACTTATAGGTTAAAGGTTGAAAAGATTAAAAAACAGCTAAGTTGTCACTGAGCTCACAAGGCCTAAGAAAACCTTAAGTAGTGAGGCTGTCCTGCATCTGCATGTGTCTTCGCAAAGCAAGTTGTTTATTTTTCTCATCTCTATTTGTCCCTTTATAACTGGATTGGTTCAAAAAGTGTAAATGTCTACATAAGAGTTTAGCAAAATCTACAAGAAAAAAAATGGCAACTTGAAACTATTAAATATGAAATTAAGCTTATGCTTTAAGAAAGTTTTAATATTTCTTTTGCCTTGTGCTTAAATTAAACATTTTTAATTTTATAATGAGATTTCTTTATGTCTAAAAATATCAAGTAGACATATCAAGCATCTTTGCGTGTGGGTGTACATCAGAGTACAGAATCGTGACTAATATGAAGGAAGCCTCTTGGGGCTTGTCTCCTCTGTCAACTTGAAAAACACTATTTTTACAAACCAACCTGAAAAACAGATTAGAGATATGAAAGAACCCAGGAGCAACAACCTGGCAACTTGAGAGCCTAAAATGTGTCGTGCATTTTCATCTGTCACACTGCCAGAAGAGAAAAAAACAACAACCAAAAAACTTCAATGCGTGCTGCCCCCTCATCAACACCCACGCAGGAATCCCCAGCTACTGCTGAGTCGGTCTGATGGAGAGTCCTCTAAAACAGCCCCTGCGTGAGCTCCCACACTGGGCCCCTGTTGGCCCCTCATCTGGCTCCCAGCCTGACCCATAACACCCCCTGCCAAAGAAACATATGTAGTGGTGGAGGAGTCAGCAGGCAGTCAGCTATCAGCTTCTCATTTCTGCACCACACAGGATGTAGGGCGATTGACAAAACATAAGAAAGGTGACAGTTATATAAAGAGATACGCTATAGCGAGCTGGAAAATGAAAGAGGCTGGCATGAAAAAGACAAATCGTGAGGTGGATTTAAGATTTTTTTTTTCAGTAATGTTTATTTTTGGCACGTTTACATTCAAAATCTTTGTCAATGTCAGTCTATTTTAGTAACACAGCTGCAAGAAAACATACTTACATGTGCAGATGTTATGTGAAATTAAGAAAAAAAATCATTCACATTTAGACTACATCGCATCCCATTATCCATATATAACAAATTGAAAAAAATCTGTTAAAATATATAAATAAGAGCAATGCAAAATGCAAAAACAATAACATTTTACACAGTTATGTACAAAATTAAGCATCTTGTTTGGGGGTTGCTGGCTCAGTCTCCAAGGTTCTGCGGCTGTGGAGGTGTACATTTTTTTTATAGCATCTATAGTATCCGCACATTCATATTGTATAACCAAAAATCTCTTCAAAGCAGGATTTTTTTTCAGTCACTGGATTAACTGTTTGAAGGATTATTCCCTGCGCGATCTGATTGGTCCCCCCATAACTCGACTCTCCGCCTCACACCATTCCTCGCACTCATGTCTGGAGGAGAATCTGTTTTGGTTGCCACCACAGCCCCCGTAAACAAACGGTCTGCATTCCCCCGATCGGGCGTGGAAGTACCAGACCAGAGAATAGTCTGAACAGGCTCCTTCTGACATCGGCTCCAGGCAGCGGTCTGTTAATGAAAGAACAGGTAGATGAGGAAAAGCGTAAAGCTGCCCTTCAAACTGACATGCTGTGGAGTCACTCTACTTCAGGGGTGGGGTAACTCCAGGCCTCAAGGGCCGGTGTCCTGCAGGTTTTAGATATCACCCTGGGTCAGCAGATCTGAATCAAGTGTCTAGTTCATTACCAAACCTCTGGTGAACTTCAAGACATGTTGAGGAGATACTTTAGCCATTTAAATCAGCTGTGTTGGATCAAAGACACATCTAAAACCTGCAAGACACCGGTACTCGAGGCCTGGACTTTCCCCACCCCTGCTCTATTTTCACAAGTGTTAGATTCTCAACAAAGTGCAGAGAATATGTTTTGTTGAGTGTATACTCACTTTAACTACAGTTATGGTCAGAAGTTCACACACACATTTGAATTTAGCTTGGATTTTTCTGTCATCCAGGCAGGGATCAAAGTATACATGCAGGATCGAATATATACATATACTGACTTAAATCTTTAAATAAGTGATAAGTTCTACAATGTCTTAACTTGACAAAGCCAAGGCCAGTTAAATTCTCTGTTGTCATCACGATTGACTACAACTGGTAGTTTTCCCTGCTTAAAAAAGGATTTGTTTGACACTACTGATTGAACTGATCAATACTAACAATGGGAAAGTCCAAGGAACTCAATGAAGATCTAATAAGGAGAATCTCTTGGAGCCATTTGTAAACAACTGCAGATTCCAAGATTGCCTAAAACATCCATCTTTTATATCCGGGCCCAAACTCTGCTGCAGGTCCATAAGTCAAACGATCACTGCGGCCTCACTAAGAGCTGAAAAACTGTCTAAATTCTTTCATCTGTAATAAAATGATCAGCGTTCTGCTCTACCAGGTGTAACAATTGAGTTTAACATCCAGGCATCCATGAAAACAGAATTTATGACATTTAACGGAGTTAGACGTTAGCAGGGAGTTAGCTCGCTAGTTTCCATCTAAACATAATACAGCATGTCCTGACTGCAGGGTTTTGGAAACAAATTAAGATGCACAGCTCTGCTATCACTTCCAACATAAATGGAGACAGAAAACTAAACAGCAGTGATGTTTTTAGGGTTACTGAAGTTTGGCTAGCTGGTATATAATGATGTGCTACGTGATTGCTAGCGACACAGCTATGTTAGCATAATATAAACAGTGAAGCTTGAGGAGGAACTCTAACTCTTTTCCACTCAAAAGTTAACATGAGGATTCTCGATGGTCAGAGACAAATCGCATGGCAGGATGCTGTAAACGGACCAAACTTCAGTCGGGACTCGGGAGAGCAACTGAGATCATCCATCCACAATACGAGGTTAGTCATTAATATACTGCTGCATGGGCTGGGCTGTAGTTACATGTAAGGTTTTAAAAACTGAGCTTTAAAATGAATAGCGGTAATAAAAACCGAGAGAGGCCGATAGTGATCACTGACTGTTTTTAGGGGCTTTTTGAGGTTAAATAGAACAAGATACAAAGCATTAAAACATGTTAAATACACAACAGCCTTGTTAAACGCAGGGTAGTTTGGGCCCAGAAGCAGGATTCATCACGTCATCACTTAAAGACCGGATACAGTTTATTTAGCTACTAGTGCTGACGATAAAGGACAGCGTAACTGATAATGATTTCTTTTTAAATTTATTGTTATAACTGATTATTAGTGCAAATTGTAGCCATATTAATCATACAGTGTCTGTTGCGACAACCGTAGCTGTAACTTAAACTTTATTTTCCTTCTGTAACCGATCCAACCCCTGGGAAATAAAACAGATAAAAGGGTATTTTGAAATGACTGAAAACTTGTTGTGGAAGCTAATATTTCTCCCAGGTTCTCCCAGGTCTATGTGAAAACATTCAAAAAGCTCGAGTGTCTTTACTATGAAAAGGGTGTTGAGTGACATCAAATTTATAATTTTGTTTTGATACACAAAGCAAATAAAGGGAACAAGAGAGGAGGGAGATAGACACAAACAACATCAGTTTTCTTGGTAACTCACTTGCTGTGTTTCTTCCATATACCCTTCTCTTCTTCCTTTGTCCCCACTCCACAGTCCCTCCATCATGAGTATCTGAAGCCAGAAACAAAAGCAATTACTGATACACAATAAAGAACCACCTTCACTGGACATTACGAGTGCCAGTGACATTTTAGCTCATCCAGCAAATTAGTGAGAAACAGTTCTGGACCTTCCAATCATCAACTTTCTGTTTTTCGTGCCAACTATAAAGTACAAACTTTTGAGGGAATTCATATCCTGCTATCATTAAAGCTAAGCGATAAAAGGGGAAATCCAAAAGTATCATTAAAAAATTATTGATAGAGCTGGAATGAACTTTGAAGCACTTCAGCTTTTTGTTCTACAAGGCCTGCTGTATTGCTTTCCCTTCATCTGGATTTATCAAACAACATCACTAATGTAGGGTTTTACTATATTCAGAAAGTGAACAATAAACACTCAGTTCTGAGAGAGACGCTTACATAAAGGAATTCTTCATCACAACAAATGATTTTTGCACGTGGATTTCATAAAAAGGAGGCTTTTAAAGAAATCAAGCACAAGCTAACCCCCTGATTATAAATACACATGAAATTTAAATCACAAGTAAACTCAATAATACCGAAATACAAAAATACCAGTGGAGCATCTGCCTCCATTTCACCCTATCCCGAGCAACTTTTTGTGTGACACCAATCTTCTGCATGTTCTCCTTCACTACACTCCATGAACCTCCTCTATGGACTTCCTCTGTTCCTCTTTCTTCAGTATCTTTTGTGTGGTATGTGCTCTATCCCTCCTCTGCACATGTCCAAAACCATCTCAGCCTGCCAACTTTGTCTTCGAACTGCTCAGCCTGAGCTGTCCCTCTGATGTACCCATCTCTAATCTTGTCCATCCTGGTTCCCCCCTAAAAAATCTTAACATCTTCAACTCTGTCACCTCCAGCTTACAGCAGGTCTCACTACCGTCTTGTAAACCTTCTCTTTCAGTCTTGCTGCCACAAATCACCCCTGGCACTCATCTCCACCCACTCCACTTTGTCTGCACTTTCTTCTTCATCTGTCTTGTGCACTTCTACTGAGTTTGGATGGCTGACCCCAGTTATTTTAAACTCACCAATCTTCACTATCACTTCACTGTTATATCTGTCTTCCTCTCATTCACACACATGTATTCTGTCTCGCTTCAAGTGACTTTCATCACTCTTCTCTTAAGAGCATACCTCCACCTCTCCAGGCTCTCTTCCACCTGCTCCCCACTCTCATTACAGATCACAATGTCGTCATTGAACATCATAGTCCACGGAGACTCCTGCCTGACCTCATCTGTTAAGCTTTCCATCACCGCTGCAAACAAGAAGTGGCTCAGAGCCGATCCCTGATGTAATCCCATCCCCACCTTGAACCCATCTGTCACTCCAACTGCACACCTCGCCACTGTCTTGCTGTCCTTACACGTTTTCACTCCTTGGGCATCCTCTCATGAAAACAATCTGGTTTTAACACAAAAAAATCCACTACCCACTCTCCTAGACGTCTGCATACATCCACAGGTATGCAGTCAAAAGTTTTAAATGTTTGTACTACAAAAGTAATAAAATATTTAGCCCACATCTTGGGGTTTTTTTTTTTTTACAAAAAGATGCTTCATTCCTTGTGAAGAATTTTATCCATTGAGTGCTCACAATCTAGCATTTCAGGACAGATAAGAAGAGCTATTCACGTGAGGTTTATAAGTTTATGTAAGTATCCGCTAGAGGAATATTGTCCATCTTAATTATTTGTTGTAAAACATCAGATTTCGTGCAACAAAACAAGTGAACATAAACACCATATTTATTTAGGTGTGAATGCTGAGCTGTACTTGTACAATCATTATTTGGGGAACAGATGAGTACTATATTTAATGATTTAAATGAATAAATAAACCAGTTGACATTGACGCAGGGCAATGACAGCCTTGTACTTTGATCAGCTGTCTGGTTTATGTACCTGAAGCAAGAATTACAATAATTTGGGATGCAGAAAGCAATTTCTGCCCGTGGCTGTATTAGCTAATAAGCATCACGGCATGTGAGATTGCTGGTACAAGCTGACCTTTGGTTTAACTTTGTGGCTTCCCTGTAATAGCACTCTATTTAATAATTACTACATTTTGGTTTCCTTTTCTGTCCATTGCTTAGCCTTTTTTGGGAGAGCACTCACAGTGGTGAGACTGACAAGAAAAAATGGAAAAAGTAAGCTGGTATGGCATCACAACACAGATCTCTAGATGTGTCTGAACTGAGTATGTTGCAGTTCTGGGATATTTGCATCACTTGTAGATGTCCTAAAAGGTAAAAAAAAAAAAAAAGGCACAGACCTGGCACATAAAGAGATATTACCTAATCACATCACCTTTAATCAGACATGTTCAGCATGTTCAGTGGTGCTTTTACCTTAATGTTTAACTAAAGAATGGATACAGTATCAGAGACATGTAGGCAGGCTTGTTTTCTTTGTCCTTGTCAGGACACAGCACATTTTAATTGCCTGCATCACAGCTGCTACACATAAGGTTGATATATGCAGCTATTTAGCCAGACACTTGGTCACACGCTATCTAAGGCATCTGTGTGTTTGGCCAGAGGCGCTGACCCTGCAAACAGCTACTTGTGTTTCTTACCAGTCTGGTTTTGTGGGTGCCCTTCTCCCATGTTGTCTGCCATGTTTTCTTCCATACTTTGTTCATGCAGGTCATGGGTGATAGATTTCACAACGTCTTTTTGGTCATTTTCATTCTTAGTCACTGCAGTTGTTGCATCTGGGTCAACAGATTTTACCATGAACTTGTATTCCAATCCTGCAGTGATAAAAACAGCATGACTTTTTTTTTTGCTAGGAAAATGGGAAATGGCTAACACCTCTTTGGGAATCATCTTGTTGGGGCAGAAATACTTTTATCTTTTTTATGTTTGGATAAGTCACAGTTCACTGTGAAGTAGCTGACTTAGAAAAAGAATTTCTTTCAAAATGGTCATGTACAAGGACTGAACTGAAAATGAGTGATGAAGCAGCAAATGGACAGCCTGGAGAACTATCGCTCACAAGGACTGAAACAATTACAAGCAAGTCTGGCTCCTTGGAAGCAAAGTATAAAGAAATGAGGGCTGGCACAAGGTTTTTGCACAGTACTGTATATATTTGTCATGCATCAAATTTAAGTAATTAAATTAGCCATAATACCATAATTTAACTAGAATTCTAAGTATTTAAAATATTTTCTTTCATTCTTTTATTTCCTTCAGCTCACTTTATTTATTAGTTTATACTTTAAAGTGTTCCTATGAATATGTGGGAGTGCTATTGTTTAATAAAGACAAACAGCAGGAAACAAGAAAACAAACATAAAAAAAACACACTATCTATTCACAGATTATACTCGGAACACTTCATAAATCAATAGACTGTTCCTTTTCTGTTATCGCATACAAAAATTAAATAATATTTAAGCATCAACCACTTGTGGGTAATTAGCATGTCTGAGAGGCAAACCTGTGTTACCGTTACTAATAGGCAGCAGGAAAATCCAATCCTTGTCAAGGATGCATAATGTAGTCTAGATATTATACAATAAATTCAGTTAAATTGAGTTTAATTTAAGATCATCTCAAATTGTGGTTTGAGTCACAGAGCTTTCATTCTATCTTTCCATGAACACATACGGCATGCCAAAATGTCTTCAGTGAAAAAGGTGTATTGCAGACAATCAGCCTCCAAATATCGTGAATGTGCCGTGGAATCTGGGTGAGGCGTTCTACTTAATGGCTGTCTTGTGTTTGTGAATGGCTCTGCTGTTGCTGGCACCATGATGCGTGTTCCTCTGAGAGAACATAACAGATGGCTGAACACACACGGGTGCCATGCTGCTGCCACGGGAGCTCTACAACAAACAAGCACGCGTTCGCAATATGCAGGCCTATCTAGAGGCACACGTTTATTCACTCATGGATGAAGTACAAGTGCACGTACTGTAGGAGGTTGAAAATGTACAAACGAATAACACGTGCGCACAAGCACACTCTTACCGCACTTTTCTACCACCTCCTGGTTGACTAGCTCCTTCACTTCTTCAGCCTTGAAACGAAGAAATGCAAGAATGTGAATAATTTAAATGACAAGTCAGTTTTTAGCCTTTTGTCACGTGTGAGTGTGCAAGCGTGCTAAGACGTACTGAGAGTCCAGGCTCTCCTTTCTCCCCTTTTGCTCCTTCAATACCAACTTTACCCTAAAAGGAAAAGATATTAACATATTATATTTATATTGGATGACAGATTCAGACAGTTTACTGACATTTGCACTGAAAAGTGATGAGACACAACAACATATTTGGACCCACACTTCTCTCAAGTTAACATGTACACAATATTCAGTTAAGGAGAAGGCAGCCATGCAGGTAATTTCACTTATTTTGGCTTATTACACCTTTTAGATCTAACAAGGACTAAAAGTCATGTGAAAAGGAAAGTTTTCACAGCAAGTGTGACCACCTCTATTAAAAGGTTTTTAGTGGTGTGCCAGACTGAAAGCATTCAGGTGTGTGTTAACACAATGTCCACTTACAGAAGTGAACATCGCAGCAATCATGTGTTTTATTTTGGTGAACACATGAAATACAAAAATACAGATCTGGAGACTACAAGGCTGAGAACTGAAAACATACGTGAGAGAGAATATAGTGCCCTTAAATATGAGGTCACAAGCCAATTTTTAAAATCAAATCAAAATACTTAAATCTCTTGATTGTTCTATTGCTGTGTGTTTTGCATGTGTTAAAAAAAACCCAGTTTGCACAGGGCTCTAGTTCTTTAAATATAAACAAAAAGTGACATTTACTGTCAATGCTAAACCATTTATTTGAGCTTGTGCACAGAATACATGAGAGTTCAAACACTGGAACAAGAGTGTTTTAACTGTGACCATTAAAAAAAAAAAGTAGAGGTATGATTAGGCAAAAAGGTCTGTTACTACTGGTGATTTTTGAAGTCTGAAATCTGCATGTTGCAGTTTGCTAACACAGCTAATGTTATTCAGCTGATTTGGTGTGTCATTAATTGCTCTATGTAATGGTATCATGGTATTTACGAAGGACTGCATAGACACAATACCTTCAAAACGAAGTTTAGTAAGATAGCCAAGATATTAGTGCCTTTGGGACAGAGCTTTTAAAAGAACACTGTTGGACAGGATGTGTTTATTTAGCTACTGAGTATGACTATCAAAAGTCTCTTGCAGACAGACCTGCAATACCTTTAATGCTGTGCAAAATAAAGGCACAACAGAACTAAACTAAAACTAAATAATTAGCCACACTTTTACATTATCAATGTATCAAAAAACAATGTGCAACATCAAAGGGATTACTCATTAGTGGCAAACAGACAACTCTTCAATCCACCACATCTAAACAGAGCCTTGAGCATCTTTTAATCTCTAATGTGGGCTGGATCTGTTTTGGAGACCAAACAAGAAAATATCTTAAAGAAGAGATAATATTTTCTTGGTGACCAGAAAAATATCTTCAGGCAGCCAATAATGTGTGTAATGCATTTTAAATAATTTCATTTAAATTAAACATTTCTAATGACTCTGTCACACTAGAGTAAAAATAGAAAGACAAACTGTAACCAACTACAAGTAGTTGCAGCAACCAACTGGTTGTCCATGTTCAAGGTGATTGCACACGTTGAGGGAGGTAACCTGTCTCCAAACAATCCCAGTCTGACTTGCATTAACTCAATCATTCTCAAACAGATTGTTGAAGGGTTGTAAATACAGTCCTGATCAGAAGTTTAAGACCACTTGAAAAATGGCAAAAAAATATCACATTTTGCATGGTTGGATCTTAACAAGGTTCCAAGTAGAGCTTCAACATGCAACAAGAAGAAACGGGAGTGAGACAAAACATTTTTTTGAGCATGCAATTTATCGAAAACAATGCTTAAACTGAAATAGGCTGTTTTACAGCTGGTCAAAAGTTTAGGACCACACCTCCAAAAACAACCTGTAACACCCCCCCCCCAAAACAGAAATCAAAGTTCAAAACATGAACTCAGTAATGAGTAGTTCCACCATTATTGTTGATCACTTCAAAAATTTGTTGTGGCATGCTTGATGCAAGTGTTTCCATGAGGTGAGTGGAAACTGCAAGCAGTGAAGACGGCCGCATGAGGGCCATCTACTCGATGGAGCTGGTGTCCATTCACCTTGTCATCCATCCCCAAAGGTTCTTATTTGGATTTAGATCAGGGAAACATGCAGGATGGTCCAAAAGAGTAATGTTATTCTCCTGGAAGAAGTCCCTTGTCCTGCAGGCATTGTGTACTGTAGTGTTGTCCTGTTGAAAAACCCAGTCATTACCACGCAGACGAGGGCCCTCAGTCATGACGGATGCTCTCTGCAACATCTGGACAAAGCCAGCGACTATAGTGTTTGATGCCCCTGCACCTCCTGACACCCCATTGTTCCACTGAAGGAAAAAGCACCTCAGACCATTATGGCGCCCCCCTCCACTGTGGCACGTAGACAATATCTCAGGTGGGATCTGCTTGTCACGCCAGTATCATCAATGTTAAATTCTTTCTCATTAGAGAATAAAACTTTCTTCCCCCTTTCAGTGTCCCATGTTTGGTGCTCTCTTGCAAAGTCCAAAGGATCATTTCTGTTGCGTTCAAGGAGACGAGGCCTTTCAGAACAGCCAAGAAGCCCTTCAGTCTCAGATGCCGTCTGATGGTTATGGGGCTGCAGTCAGCACCAGTAACAGCCTTAATTTGGTTCGAGGATTGTCCAGTGTCTTGACGGACAGCCAGTTAGATTCTCCAGCTCATTGCTGGTGAAATTATTTTCAGGTTTTCCACTTTACTTTTTTGTTCCATAACCCCCAGGTTCATTTAAGAAATTCCAAATGACTGTCTTACTGCGTTCCACCTCAGCAGTGATGGTGCGCTGTGAGAGACCCTGCTTATGCAGTTCAACAACCCGACCACATTCAAAAAGGAAATGCCATCAGAACGTCATGACTGTGTGACTACCTGACAAAAAATGACAATGAATCCACATTTTTGCACAGATTTGGCCTTTTAAAGGCATGTGGTCCTAAACTTTTGATCAGCTGTAAAACAGCCTGTTTCAATTTAAGCGTTGCTTGCAATAAACTGTATGCCCAAAAAATATTTTGTCTCACTCCCATTTCTTCTTGTTAAGATCCAACCATGCAAAATATGATATTTTTTTGCCATTTTTCAAGTGGTCTTAAACTTCTGATCGGGACTGTATCTATCATGTAATTTAAAAACATAATCAGATTGACAGTAATCAGAGTCAGTCTGCATCGGTGAACGTAACTTTTCAGCGATTTTGCTGAGTGCCTATGTCATTTTTGTCAGGGTCCTGGGACTGGGCGACCCAGGATCCCTGGGCAGT